ACTTATTTGAAAAGTGAATTATAATGTTTAAATTACATATTTAATAAATATTGCATGTAGAAATATGAAACATGATGTTGTGGTTTATCAAGCAGCCAGGTTACGAGATATTAGCTCATTAGTCTACATCAACAGCTAACGTTAGCATTAGCCTTGAGGACTGACCACATGCAGCACTGGGGCTAACCTAAAATATGCTTACTGGAAGTTAGCAGCCCAATGTACGCAAAGCAAAGACACAACATGTCAGTACAGATTCACTTTAAAGAAGTACAATTTCTCCTCTTAATGTAGAGGCTAATTGTCTCCCAACTTCTTCCTATACGTGCAAGTTAAATGTGTCCGACAGCAGCTTGTTCTGAGAAGATATTGATATCACCCTTCCATCAAACTCACTGTTAGACAGAAATAAATGCTATGTGTTGTTAGGATAATTACAGAATTTAGAATTGTAACAACTTACACTAAAATAAATACATCCTGAAAATCTAACCATTTACACAGGTTATCCTATACTTGCATAACCTACAATTAATACGTTTACACGTTCATGCCAACAATGAAACCCTTCAAAAGGATTTGACAGACATATATGACAGAAATGCTCAGCATCATTATCCAGCGCTTGATTCTTGGCTCAAATTCATCCTTTCCTCAGAAATAACAAAAGAAAAGACACATTTTTGCTCACAACTCCAATACTTCAGCTGATGGCAGTTTGTTTACAACCAACACACACATACACATACCCAACCAAGTCAGTTTAGGCTTTCTCGTTCTATCAATGTCTGACTCTCTTGCCCTCTCCCTCCGTCATTCTTACACAGCAGGGTATAAATGTAAATACACAAAAAACACACACATCCAGCCCGGGGCAGCCTACTGTCTTTCTGTATAATATTGTCTCCGGTGAAGTGAGCTGCTGTACTTTTTTCAGAGTCCTCCTTTAACCCACCCATCCAAACAGCCATCAACCATGAGCTGAGAGTTGCCTCCCTCCACAAATCGAACACCCTGCTCTGAAATTCAGTCCACTCCGGCAGTAATACAGACCCCCTGCTGACAGCAGAAAGCGAAGGAGCATACATACTTTCAGTTCTTCTCTAAGGGAGAATAAAATGATTATGTATGAGTTTTTCAAACTCGCAGACAAGTGTGTGTCTTCTCTCGAATAGGTGCTTGCATATATGCATCTTAACCTGCCTGCATTATCACGTACACGCGGGTAAACAGCAGTGTTGGTCTGAGAGCAATCAGACCGTGACAGACTCTGCAGCACCATCCCATAGGCCTCCATCGAGGAAAAACACTGCACTGCCAGACATAGCCAATTCCTCTAAATGACCGTCATCCATCCCTCCCTTCCTTCCATCACCACGAGGGAGGGAAGAGCTCCATGTCTAGGCATATAATTGCTCAGACTTAGGTCAGTGTGTCCTGCTCTAACTTTAGTCTGGGGACAACTACGCATCAGACACGCATCTGGGGATATTAGGAACACGGCAGTAGATCTGGGGACGATGGGGACACAGAACAGCACTGGGCGACAATGGGGAAAAGTGTGAAGGATGTTCGAGCTAATTCCCACACTTTTCCTGATAGATTTTTGCTGTGAAAACCCTTGGCGGATATCTCGTCTTAAAAAGTTAGCATCAGCAATCATGTGTCTCTACTGCCTTTGATGCATGATCCTCATCAAAGGGCACTGAGGGAAGGTATAGTACATCATCCCTCACATCTATCTGGAGTTTAAAGGGGGCATCACGTATGGATGAAATACTACTTGTCAGTCACTCGCCTTGAGTAGGTAATAGGAGATGATATAGTTGAGATTCAGTTCTGCATAAAGTCACTGCAGAGTCACAGGCTTTTTTTTGTTCCCCTTCAAAAGACTGACACTGGATGATAAGTACTCTGCCGAAGGTTTTATATAGCTCATTCCATTTTCCCCATGTCTGGAATGTTAGAATATTGAAGTACAAGTGGGATCTTAGGCGACTTTAGATCCTGGAAGCTCCTTGTTTCCTTTCCTGTCTTAAACAAAGGGAATTCTGCCATTACATTATCTCTGTGTGCAGGGCCCTAGGGAATGTTCATGTCTTGAGCACTAAGCATGTATTTCCTTGCTTTCCAGGAGGATCCCTAGGAAGCCTTGTTGTCTGATTCATCTCACTGAATTGTCAGCTAATGAATGATACGCGTCCGTCGATTGCCACACACTGTCAGAAAAAAGAAAGCCCCCAAGGGTGGTCGTCTTGGGGATTCTGCCATTCTCATTAGGACAGAATCAGAAAGACATAGAGGCTTGTCAATCGTTGACCATGTTCTCATGTATTTCCCAAAGGGGGGTTGCATATGAAGCCATTAGGTCTCACCCTAGAAGGGTGATCAGCATGTTTAGGAGCGTCTCAAACATCTTCGGAGGCACATCATTGATGGAATTTGATTGAGTCTTTAAAGAAAGATAGCCAGCGGAGTCTCTGGAACATAATTAGTAAGTAATCTGTCTTCCAACAACACTTTACAAGGCACTCCAGGCAGGAGAGGCAACAAGGTTATGTAAGATCAGTGAAGGAAAATGGTTGAAGAAAATCCAGACTTGAATATAAATTCCATTCCCCAGTCCATCCTCGACTATAGTTTCTTTCTCGAACACACATACATCCTTTATCATTTGTCCTTGGTGGGGTTTTTTCTGAGTCTGCCGGTGTCGTTTCATCCTCCCAGAGTATCCCACCATCTATCCGGAATCACTTCCTTATCGTCGGCCATAACACAGAGCACTGTCCGCTAATGGGATTAGGTGTGTGCCTCGCTTGTCACAACTACAGCACCTTTCTGTCCAGCTTCTATTCTTCAGGCAGTTTTATCGCCAGGATTAGTCACGTACTCAGTACAAGCTGTCCAGTTCCAACATTACCACCACAACTCTCTTCCTCTTCCTCCTATACTCTCCACTCATTTTCCCATTTTCTAATTTCTCTTCATGTTCTACCCACCCCTTACTTTGTCCACCTTTCATCTATTTCCCCTTTCTCCATCTAACTACCACTCCTCTCCTCCCTTGATGTCTCCTAACCTCCCCTCTCCGGGTTCTCTCTCTGCCCTCTATAGCTCTTTGGTCCCCATCTGGGAAAATGCAAGAGTCATCCGCTGTAAACAATTGCTAACTGCATGCTGAAACACAGATTGGTGTGTGCTCTTTCTCGTAATAACATTATAAGAGGAGAATGTGAAAATCCAATCACTATAGTCTCGGTCCTCCTGTTTTCTCTGACAAAAAATAGAACCTTGCAATGGCACGGTTAGTCCAGAAAAAATTGCGGAAAAGTGCTCATGCAATCAAAGAAACACATAGTCAAAGATAAACATGTGCACCAAAACACATATACAAGAAACACATAAATAAACATAGTCAAGGCGCTCATACACATTCAACTGAGTGTACCCGTTTACACTGGTAGCAGTTATGTATAATACATGAGCTTTCAACATACATACATAAACATGTCTCACACTGATCACAGCCATTACTGCCACTTAAAGCGCATTGTGTGTGTGTGTGTGTGTGTGTGTGTGTGTGTGTGTGTGTGTGTGTGTGTGTGTGTGTGTGTGTGTGTGTGTGTGTGTGTGTGTGTGTGTGTGTGTGTGTGTGTGTGTGTGTGTGTGTGTAAGGCTTTACATTAGATGTTATGTATATGCTCAACAAGAGCTATAAGAGTACAGATTTTCCACTTGAGGACCCAGCTGCAAAGATGACTGAATCAAAAGTTCGCAGTGCTCTCTACAACCGCAGGAAATTATATATATATAGATATGGCAGACCTACTTTTATTTTATTTATTTATTTTCTTACAAAAATATAGTACACAGCTGGCTGCAGTAATCGATATAACCTCGGAAGGCAGGTCATACATCTAAGCAAATGTATTTCCCTGAAGGGCAATGGGTGAAAAGGGTTTCACACAAACTAGATGACAATATGTGCACAGAGATAAGGGAATACAAATTGATAAATCGCATCAGCAACACCCCTGCATACTGTATAATGCCAAATACTTATTATCACCGATTTATAGGGTGGCGTAATAAATGGACGCAATTAAGCCGGCTTTTTGGAGCGACTCGGAGCCGATCAACCTCATTAGAGACGCGCTGGACCGGGGAGAAATTGCCCATACAGACGGAGAGCAGGTAAAATATTTGCCCCGGGGTGGGTGCTCGGTGTGTGACAGTCTGGCAGTCGGTTCCCCCAGCCGTCCTTCGGTAACGGATGCGAGCAGGTAGACAGAGAGGGGGGTAGAGCGCACACAAATGCCGTCTGTGAGGAGTCGGCTCGGACGCGTACAAATATTGCGCTTATCCAATTTGCACAAAAAGTGTCAGCCCTTTCTCCTCACCTTGTAGTCGGAATAAAATATGCACTACAAATCTTGTAAGGTTCAATAAAGGGATCAATAGGAGAATCAATCAGTGTACATACAACAGTTATTATGGCGCGGAAATTCCCCCACAAGCTACGAGTGTGCGCCAGCGGACAGGTCCTCAATCTCTTTGACCAACAGCACCCTATTAGGACTGTAGCCTATGATCAATGTCGTCCACTGTTAAAACACTCCCGCTGTAATATCTCTCCACACATCTCATTTCACATGAGGGATATACTTTTAGGACGACAAAATCCTGCGGGGTCTCACAGAAATACGCACAGAGTCGGTCCACCGGGAGCATCCAACCTAATGAATTCATTTCACTGACACTACTAAAGAAAAACACACATAGATATTGAAGTATTTGAACTGCCACGTACCGTAATTGTAAATGTTAGCCCTGGTAAGTGTCAAGCAGAAGTGCCAAAGAGCTGAGAGAAACGCAATTCCCAAATACCAAGCGAGGGGAAACTAGGTCTGATCTCCAGTCAGCCCGACCGCCGTTAAAATCAATCACACAAGCTCACAATCACAGGGTTTCGGTCACAGACACATTGGTGTTTGATTTACCTCTGAATGTCGGATCTCGCTGTGATTGTCTCAAGTTTCTTCGTCCGTCTCCAGTTCAGCCCGTCAGCTGGTCACACAACTGAGTCCAAGAAGGACACACGCAGTTAACGTGCGCGTCTCTCTCTCTCTCTCTCTCTCTCTCTACTCTCTCTCTCTCTCTCTCTCTCTCTCTCTCTCCTCTCTCTCTCTCTCTCTCTCTCTCTCTCTCTCTCTTTCTTCCCCGTCTCTCTCTTTCTCTCCCCCCTCTCTCTCATCTATTAAAACGTGACTCCTGAAAAATCTCTCGGCACGTTTTTAATGTCGTCTCTTTTTCGTCTCTTCATCACATTCATCACAGCTCTCACTCGGAAGTGATTATTACTGCATGATGTCCATCATCACTCAGTCACCACAACGTCCTCCACCAACACCACCACCATCATCATCATCATCATAAGCATCATGACATCCAACAATCAATACAGCATACGCGATTACATAATTTAATGTTGTAGATATCGCTGCCATTTTCCAATAACTTATTGTAGGGCTGCCCTCACTGGTCGATTCATTGGTCGAAGTTAAGTAGCTAGCTACTAACTTAAACAATTAATAAAATGCTTTTCAGATTGGCTTTATGGACATAGCCTAATTAAGATTAGAAAAACAGACAGCTTTGGGATTCCCAGCTATTTATAAATTAAGAGACCTATGATTAATGTATTAATAGTAAGCACTGCAGTGTACTTTCAGCGTTTGCAAAAAAACCTTTTGGTACCAATTTTTTTTTAAATAAGGGCCAAAAGTAAGTCTTTAATTATTGTTACATTTCATCAACCAAATATAGTCAAAGGTTTTTAAACATGCAGCATTACTATGATTATGAGAAAGTTATAATAAATGTTAATAAATACAAGTATCAATAGATGAGAGTAACACATGCGTCACTTCCGGGCAAAAAGTATGGCTCCGCCCACTTTTTGAATGGCGGTCAATACAAATTCTGAAGTTTTTGCCAATACGATCAGAAATGTAATAAAACCGTGGATTTTTGGATATTCAAAGAGCCCGAATGGCCAGACAGGCAAACAACTACATTAAATCATTGGAAATCGACGATCGGGCTCGATATGGTTAAATATAGCTGTCGGCGATCGATGTCCATAGATGAGAGCTAGCGGCCCGTCCACACAGCGGCGTGCGTTGACGCTTCACTATTCACTTTGAATGGGGTGACGTCACTTTTCGGCGAACTGCATTGTGGGAAGCTTGCTCGCTGCAAAAGTTGAGCAATGTTCAACTTTTGACGCCTCGGCAGAAGCGTCAGCCAATCGAATCATATGCCAGTAAAAGCTCTAGCCAATCAAACCACTGCTTGTGTGTCAGGGGCGGGAGATTCATGTGATTGGTTGTTGGTCGAGTTTCAGACACGCCCGCCGGCAAGCTTCAACGCACGCCGCTGTGTGGACGGGCCGTCACATCTACGCAGTGGCGAGCCGTCAGGGCCCTCTAGGCCCTAGGGCCTAAGATATTCTAAAAAATAATATTTGAAAACATTAATAAAAAAAAAAATTCTTTTAAAAATATTATTTTTTATATATATTTTTTGTTACATTTTTTATTAGTTTTACCAAAATAACTTGATTTAATTGTAGGCCTATTTAAAATAACATTTCCAAATAACTAAATCCTTCGAATCTGCCTGTTCAGTTTCTGTTAGAATGTGAAGGGTTAAATGCAATGACGTAACCGTTTGCGTGCCTGCTTCATAAAGCCAAACCGCGCGGTTTAAATCAGTTGCATTCATTTCTTATGGCTCTATCTGTAGCTTTTCCGGAGTCATTTCTGTGGTTTAGTTATATTCTTATAAAAAAGTGTAGCTACTGTGTCAATAAAGGTTTTTTTAAAACACAACTGCTTCCGAGGTCGGTCTTATTTCTTAAGGTGGACTGAACCATGAGTGTGGAGTAACGTTGTATATTTCATTTAAATGAACTGTAACCTTCACCGAGGTATGTAACAGCTGTTCTCAAATGAACACGTGAAGTAAAGTTTTGTAGTGCCGTGAAAAGAGAGTCGGAGGCGGTGTATTAAGAATGGAGTTCCAATCTTTATTATCCATTACTTTCAGAGAGGTTAACACATGCACTGCTCTGCCTGATGAGCTAGCAGGAATGGCAGCTAAAGCTACAGGTGTTCCCCACTAAAGGGTCCGTGTGGCAACACAATAAGCAACGTGAATTATGTCCAATAACGTGTCACCACACAAGCCCCCCCAGAATTCACACATAAACAAAATCAGCATGGCGGGGAGGAACGACACGCCGACCCCCACGACTCCTGAGCACGGGAGTCGGAAAAGTGACTCCCGCCTGTGCGGCCCCCGGAAGGGGAGGGACCGGAACAACAGGTCTTAAATCCGTGACAGGGGACGAGGCCGGGGGGCGGCCCCGTCGCGGAGGTCGAGCCAGCACCACAGGCTGGTCCAAGTCCAGGTGAGCAGCCTTCACCCGGTCCACCGAGACGTGCTCGGCCTTGCCACCCAGGTCGACCACCAGGTGCTTGTCCCCGTGCTCCAAGACCCGGAAAGGCCCATCATAAGGGGGCTGCAGGGGGCCTCTGTGCGCATCGTGCCGGATGAACACGTGCTCCACCGAGCGGAGCTCTGCGGGAACCTGGGACACCTGAGTACCGTGCTGAGTAGTAGGGATCGGAGCAAAGGCCTCAGCGGCGTCACGCAGGAAAGCCTGCTGGGCCGACGCCGACCAGGGAGCCGATGCATTTGGGAGGAAATCCCCCGGAACTCTCAGCGGCTGACCGTAGACCATCTCCGCTGTAGAACACTGCAGATCTTCCTTAGGTGCGGTCCTCAGGCCCAGCATCACCCAGGGCAGCTTGTCGACCCAGTTACCGTCCGTAAGGCCGGCCTTGAGGGCCGCCTTCATGGAGCGATGAAAGCGCTCGCAGAGGCCGTTAGCCTGAGGGTGGTAAGCGGTAGTCCTGTGCAGCTTAACCCCCAAACCGCCTGCCACAGCGTTCCAGAGCTCGGACGTGAACTGAGAGCCCCTGTCTGAGGAAATGTCTGACGGGGTGCCAAAACGACACACCCATGTTGCAATGAAGGCCCGGGCAACGTCTGCGGCTGATGTCGAAACGAGCGGAACCGCCTCCGGCCAACGGGTCGTTCTGTCCACCATGGTGAGGAGGTAGGAAAACCCCTGAGAGGAAGGCAACGGACCAACCAGGTCAATGTTGACGTGATCAAACCTCCTCTCAGGTACCAGGAAACGCTCCAACAGGGCCTTCGTGTGGCGGTGCACCTTAGCGCGTTGACAAGCCACGCACTCCCTGGCCCAAGTCCTCACGTCCCTTTTCAGTCCTTGCCAAACGAACTTCGCCGCTACCAAACGCACCGAAGGTTTAACGCCGGGGTGTGACAGGCCGTGCACAGCCTCGAACACAGGACGCCTCCAGCTGGCAGGGACGACAGGCCACGCCAGGCCCGTAGAGACGTCACACAGGAGAGTAATGCCCGCGTCGCTGAACACCACGTCCTCCAAGCGCAGCCCCGCGCTCTCCACCTTCAGGGCCTGGACGCCGGGATCTGTGACCTGGTCTGCCGCCATGCGAGTATAGTCCAGGCCCAACTGGACGGCACCGATGACCACCCTGGAGAGGCAATCAGCAACCAGGTTCGACTTGCCAGCCACGTGCTTAATGTCCGTAGTGAACTCCGATATGTAGGACAGCTGCCGCTGCTGACGTGCCGACCAAGGCTCCGCCACTTTTGACATGGCGAAGGTGAGCGGCTTGTGGTCGACAAACGCCGTAAATTCACGGCCTTCCAGCATGAAACGGAAGTGCCGCACGGCCAAATAAAGTCCGAGGAGCTCCCGGTCAAAGGCGCTGTATTTGCGTTCTCTAGGCGTCAGCTGGCGGCTGAAAAAGGCGAGCGGCTGCCAAGCGCCCTCCACCCACTGCTCGTGCACTGCGCCGACCGCGTAGTCTGACGCGTCCGTGGTGATGGAGATGGGAGCCGTAGATGATGGGTGTGCCAGCAAAGCCGCCTGAGCCAACGCGGTCTTGACCTCAGCAAAAGCGCCGTCCGCCTCTGCTGTCCAGTCGATCTCCTGGACGGGGGTCTTGCCTTTCAACGCTTCATACAGCGGCCGCATGATGTGTGCGGCCCGGGCGATGAAACGGTGGTAGAAAGTCACCATCCCCAGAAACTCACGGAGCGACCGGGCTGTGAGCGGGCGAGGAAACGCCGCAACAGCCTCCACCTTCGCTGGCAGAGGTGTCGCACCGCCCTTGGTGACGCGGTGCCCCAGGAAATCGATGTCCGACACCCCGAACTGGCACTTTGCAGGATTGATGATTAATCCGTGTTCGTTGAGCCGTGTGAAAAGGGCTCGGAGGTGGGACAGGTGCTCCTGCACTGAAGCGCTGGCGACGAGTATGTCATCGAGGTAAACAAACACAAACGGCAGGTCCCGCAGCACCGAATCCATCAGGCGCTGGAACGTCTGAGCGGCATTCTTGAGTCCAAAAGGCATCCGCAGGAACTCAAAAAGTCCAAAAGGCGTTATCACTGCTGTCTTGGGAATGTTCAGGGGGTGCATGGGCACCTGGTGGTATCCACGCACCAGGTCCACCTTGGAAAACACCCCCGTACCGGCCAGATGCGCCGAAAAGTCCTGAATGTGCGGCACCGGATAGCGGTCAGGCGTAGTGGCGTCGTTGAGTCGGCGGTAATCCCCGCACGGGCGGAACCCGCCGTTCGATTTGGGAACGACGTGCAGGGGGGAAGCCCAAGGACTGTCGGAGCAGCGGACAATGCCCAGGCGCTCCATGGTTGCGAACTCCGCCCTCGCTACAGCCAGCTTAGAAGGGTTCAACCACCGGGCCCTGGCGTAGACAGGAGGCCCCCCGGTAGTGACGTGGTGTTCCACGCCATGCTTAGTGGTAAGCGCAGAGAAGGTGGGTAGCGACAGGTCTGGAAACGTGTCTGCACCTGACAGCGAGCCTGACAGCCCGTCGTACGCTGCGCTGCCAAGTGTGCACACGAGGGAAGAAAACGTTAAGGCATCAACCAAACACCTATTCTTAACGTCCACTAAAAGTCCATGAGCACACAAAAAATCCGCTCCGAGGAGGGGAAAATAAATGTCCGCTGTCACAAAATCCCAGCTGAAACGCTGTCCTCCGATGCACAAACACATAAGCCTCATGCCGTACGTGCGAATGGGACTGCCGTTAGCCGTCGTCAATCGCGGTCCGTGCCCCCCACGGGCGACGTCTTCACTCGACGCTGGAACTACGCTCCGTTGAGCGCCC